TTTATGTAAGTAAGTAGATAAGTACTAGCTAGCTTTGTAATCATAAACTCTTGAAAGGAAGATGGGGTGAATGTTTCTCATGGACCCTAGGATGGACCTAAGTAGTGTATGGTACATATAGAATTATGTAATTATATGTGTTAGATATAAATACTTGGTTTAGGCATGTGTGTGGCCTGGTTAATTTTGGGATGGATTAACTATGTAGGTTGGTGGTAGAACGAGTAAGATGGGTGTTAATCGGATATGAATAATATCCACTTAATTGGGTGATGGCGCATATATGATCGATGATTAAATTTTAAAACCCTGAGTGCATATAGAGGGATCAAAATTGACATCCACCTTGACCTACAGACGAGTTTATTAATAAAGACGAAATAGGCCGATTTACTGGTTTTTTTACTTATATATAATAAATTATTTTACCATATTTTAGAGACTAACTTATATAATAAGGCTATATATAATGTTCTCTTTACTAGAAATAAGATTACCTAATTTAAATTTATAAGGTTTGGATTGGTTAAATTTGATCTTTGTTAACTTAGCTTGGTCTGAAATGATTTTATCGCTCTTCTGGTTTGATTGAATTTTGACTGTTTTAATATATGAGAAAAACTTTATTAATCGCATACGGTATAAAATCAACGATTCAAATTATATGTTTCTTGAGATCACAAGTTGTTAATGGACCACGTGTTGGGGTAATTTTACCCTAAACACACGTCTTATATATACTTAAAACGAATCATCTTTGCGTCATCAACACTATCAACTAAGTAATATTGGAATATGTCTAAGACTATTTTTGACATAATAGATACGCAATGTGGATGTGGCCGAAGAAGGATCCTCTGAAATTATACTACGTAGTAAGTTCCTATTTACCACTGTTTTGGGAGGCAAGTCAAGCCACAGATTTCTCGGCTTCTCGCATAACTATGATTATAACTATCACTCCATGTTCTATTGCTTTAATTCTTGTAATTGAATTTGTTTTACTTAATTATTCTAAAGGATGAATTAGATATGTCTTATTATATTGCATGGACCGACAATCTAGTTTTTATTTCCTCGTAAAAAAGATGATACTCTTAAATGAACTTATAATATAAATGGATATGTATACAGGTAAATTTGTTGGAACAGATGCTATACTAATAACAGATTTATTAATTAAACAAAAGTAGGTAATTTCAATATAGTGTTTAATTGGCTACTAACTAAAATTACACCACATTTATCCAACAAATCCTCTCTTAATCATTGGATTCCTAGGGCATTAAACTATTCTATAGCACGCACTATTTTTAAGATAATCAGACATTTAGACAAAGGAAACTATATAAGTTAGTCAATCCAATGGCTAACAAAGCATTATGTACATATTCTTCCAACATTTGTAGTGGAGAATATTTTTTTTGATTGGATTAGTTGAATAAACATTTTAATTAAACTTCTTAATATGCAGGCTTAATAAATATCATACCATCCACCACACATCATGGCATCCAAAGTCAGCCATTCCATTATCATGATTGGTTGGATTAATACTTTTAATTACTATTACTAATAGATATAGCTAGCTAATCTAGCTAGCTTTAACCATGATTATTACATAGCTATTCATGCAACCTTCCAAGAAACATATGGTATTTATTTTTTCATAATGTTTTTTTTGTCTTCTTTATGACAATACTCTTAATCCTGTCGTTATAAATCATAATTTACCCCCTCCATTAGTAGTAATTGAGTATCTTTTGAAATAATACATGCGATTTACCAATATATAAAAAAAAAATTACAAGTAATTGATTTATGTATTTGTAAAAAAATTTATGGTAATTACTTTAACCATTTAGGGCCTGTTCTCGATCTCTTCCGTTGAAATTCAGTTCAATTCAGTTCAGCTCAGCTCAGCGCAGTTCAGTTCAGTTCAGCTCTTAATTTACGTCTAATGATATTGCTAATGATATAAAGCCAAATTTCATTCTTTTAAGCTCTTATTACAACGACGACAACAACAACAACAACAACAACAACAACAACAATAATAATAATCAATAAGTAATAAATAGTAATAATAATAATCATCAATAAATAATAATAATAATAATAATAATAATAATAATAACAATAATAATTGAAATAATAATACTAATAATAATAATAATCAATAAATAATAATAATAATAATAACAATAACAATAATAATAATAATAATAATAATAATAATACTAATCAATAAATAATAATAATAATAATAATAATAATCAATAATTAATAATAATAATAATAACAATATTAATAATATGTACATTTGTATATACACATATGTATAGTAATAAATAATCAATAAATAATCAAAGATCACTAATCCGTAGTTAAAAATCACTAATTAATAAGTTCAGTTCAGTTCAGTTCAGTTCAGCTGAGTTCAGTCAATCGAAACAGGCCCTTAAACCGTTGCATTTGCATACATGATTTTGTATCGTGTGTAATCTTTGATGATTATGTATTTTTCTTTAAATTAGAGACTTTCGATATGTGCATGTTGTAATGTTTAGAAAAAAAACTACATGATAAATCACATCTTCATACCAAATTCTCAATTGTAAATTATTTATAAACTACATATTACATATTAGCATGTATTAAACAAAGGGTTTTGGGGGGAACTATATATTGATTGAAAGTTTGAAACTTTTATTGGATATTTGGATCTAATGTTATGTGAGAACAATGCATATGAAGGGAAAGCTAAGAAGGCTCGGATTTCAAAGTCTAGATTGTAGTAAAATTGAAACATTATACAAGTGAAATTATTTAGAATGAGAAAATGAATTAATTAGTTTCATGATTTATAGTTGTGCATTGGAAAACTTTTTTTTCTTAAAATGATGAATTTCTTAAATCAAATAAAGAAAGTATAATCTAAGAGAAAAGAGAAGAAAAAAAAAAGTGTAGAGATAAAAATATTACTCGTGCAAGATGCCAAGATAAACATACCATACAATAATTAGCTTATTAAAGGAATTAAAGTGAGTTCCTCTAGTAAAATCATGAATTGAAATATTTTGAAACTTTGTCCTAATCCCTTTGAAAAGACCATTTATCCATTTGTCTTTAAACCCCAAAAAAGACATACAAACATCCCCAAGGAAAGTCCCATTCAACATAATTATAAAGATTTTATACATAATTGAGAGCAAATCACTCTATAATATTAGTCAATCAATCAAAATAAGTAAAGCTTATGGACCAACAAAATATAATCTTAAGAAAAAAAACCACTCTAATTTTCAGGACATCACTAACTTTAAATGATTAAAGTAATTACCATAAAATAATCGTAATAAGACTAACAATATGTGGCCAATTTTATCTTATTTTTGCCGAATTGAAATTAGTTTTACTAAAGTGAAATTATTTTTGTTGAATGAGCTTAAATTATCTTAATGAACTGAAATTAATTTTACTGAACTTAAATATTTTTACTAAATTGAAATTATTTTTAATGAACATTATTTTTTTAAGGGTCAATGTTTAGTAATAATAAAAAAATAAAAATAAATAAATAAAAAACTAAAACTATGTGGATCCATGTAAAAGTAAAAATTCACATAAACATATGAAAATCTTTAATTTTTTGTTGTATGAATTCTGATTGTTACAATGAGGAAAATGAAAAATATGAATTAAAAGTTTGATTAAAAAATGGTCGGAGAAAGACATAGAAATTGAGGGATAAGATGATATTAAATTTTAAATTTGGGACATGTTCTGTTTACCTTATTTTCACTTATATCAAGTCTAATAAGTTAAGACAAGTTTAGTTCAGAAAAAAAAAAAAAAAGTCTAGTTTTGGAAAAATAAGTTATGATAAGGATTATCCAAGCCCAATTTATAATTAAAATTAGTTCATTTAAGTTAAGATAAATTCAATTTAGTTCAGATAAGTTAATTTACGTTCAAATACGTAAAAATTAAGTGAATAGAACACACCCTTGGTTTTGTATTTGCTTAGTTTTCCATAGTTTTGAAGGGAAAACAATAGATAGAAATTAATTTAGACAAAAATGAATTAGCTAAAACTCATAATTATTTGCTCAAGTTTAAATTACTTACCACTCAATATTTTCCATTGTAACATTAAGCACAAAAGATTCATCTAAGCTTATTTTTAATCGAAAATTAAATGGATTTTTTTTTTCAATGCTTTGAACTCCTTTCTTAGGTTTATTTTCATTATCTCATTTCACTTTTTGCAGTTTTGCACAAATATAATGCACACTAAAATATCTTCAAATATTATAACAAATTAATACTCCTATAACGTTGAAATGTATGGATAAATATCCATACAAGGAAAATGCATTTAAATCATTTAAGTATAAGATTCAAAATAAACGTTAAAAATATGGAGGGAGTCCAAGTATTGGGATGCTATTAACTTTTTTTTTTTTTTTTTTTTTTTGAATGGGTATAGGGATGTTATTCGTAAGTGCATTTGATTGGCAAAAAAGGTTTTTAGGCATGAAAAACACTTACATAAACTACGGAGTAATTGGAGTCGCTATCCAATTGCAACTTATTCCAAATTTCCAACACATTCTTTTTCACTTGTAAGTAACGGAATATAACTTCTTTTTTGCAAGAGTTACACAGTTCTTTTGCTATACCATATTACCATTTGCAACTTATTAGTTTTTGGACTTTTTTCACATGAAAAATATTATACTTATGAACTTATTACTCATAGAAGTTATACTCTGTAGTCCGTATTTAGTTGTGAATTGAAAATTATCATAACCAAAGTTATCAACACTTGGCCCTTATTTGAATATATTCGAGTCTATTTGGTTCATCATTTACAGTTTTGTGGAGTTATTATTGGTGTTTTTTTTATAAAAAAAGTAATGCCATGTGTTGTTTCCATTTGTTATCCTCTTTTTTTTTAGCACTTATTAAACAACTTAAGAAAACAAGACAAAAGCTAAAGAAGAAGAATATTAACCTCAAAATTATATTCCTTATATCCCCACAAATGAATTGAGAAAAAGAAAGAAAGGAATTGATAAATTATACTATATGGTACTACAGGTAAAAACCTATGGCTAGAAACAACCAAGATGGCAATTCCATTACCTAGCAATCAAAACACCTTATTAACTACGCACTATACTAGCTATTTATATTTGTTATACACATTACATTGGCGTTCTTCTAAGAAGCACAACATTTGACTTTTCACGATCAATAAACTTAACAGTACCATAATCCATTATTATAGTGTATACAAACTATCAAGATTTTATCAAGTCTCAATATATCTCAATATTTCTCCCACTTTGATGTCAACATGAGTCCATTGGAAAAATTCCTTTGCTCTCTTTGTTGTTGCATTATTAAGGGCCTTTGTTGCTGTTGTGAGACAACTAACCCAACTTGACTATCACCATATCGAGTCGTTGCCATTGCATTTTGAGCCTTCAATCGATCGAGAATTTCGATATATTTTTGAATCCTAACCACCTTCATAAACAAAATAAATCGTCGAAATTAATTACTTTATTAACATATAATTACTAACAATAATTATGTTATTAATGACTTCTAATATTTTTTTAACAAAAAATTAAAATAAATAAATTAATACCTGTGTTTTCCTTTTCAACTTTACTTCTCCATCAGCTACAATACCATCCAATTTTATCATTTGAGACATCAACAATTCAATCAAAGTCAACAATTCTTTCTCAGCAACTCTCCCACCTTTACAAATTACTGATTCCTTTGCTGTTACCTGCGTCAAATTAATACATAATTAAGCAAACAACATAAATAAATCATCACTTTAAAAAAAAAAAAAAAATGAGAGAAAAATTTACCTGGCAAATAAGCTGATCAACTTCAATGGCAACCTCTGCTACAGATTTCATAGCCCTTTCCATATTCGAATTTCGACGCGATTCGAGAAATCTTTTCTCTTGGCTAATGATATCTTGTACAAGAACAATCTTTGATCCATCTTTAACACCAGAAACATCAAGGAATGATTTTGATTCTCTTTCCTTGTCTTTGAAGATTAGTTTCTGATCTTGTGGTTGTAACCCTGTTACTTCTGCTAACATTTTCTTCAATTCTCCTGTAAAATCACAAATTCATACTCATTAAAATTCCATTATATAAAAGGAAAGGGAATTATATTTTTACAAAAAATAAATGAAACTTACCAAAAGTAGCATGAGAATTAATGTGAATTTCATGGTAATAAGAACCATATTTCACTAAAACTTTGATTGTTGGAATTGGAATAGAATAATTTCTATTGCAATCCAAATTCCTCTTTTGAACTAACATTCCTCCTGGCCTCATTTCCCATTCTAAACCTCCCATTTTTCCAACATTATTATTGTTGTAATTATTGTTATTATTGCAGTTTGTTTTCTTCATCATTTTGATAAAATATATACAGATAAATAGAAAAAACAGAGATACTCTGTTTTAATAGAATGTTTGTTTTCCTTGGAAAAAAAATTAAATAAATATTTTCCAAGAAATCAAATTTCTCAAAATTTGAAAATTAATGAAAAAATTAACAGAAAATTGAGAAACAAAAAATGGGTTTATGCTAAATTTTTGTTGAAAAGCATTAAGGTTATGCTCTGTTCATGAATTTGGAGGAGAGAGAAAGTTGGGAAGAAAAAGGTTTTTAGAGAGAGAAAGAGAGAGGAGAAGGGAATTGATCATGTAAAGGCAGCAAAGTGGTGCTTATATGTATATATAAATCATAAAATAAATTTAGGGAAATTATTTTTAAAGCATTAATTTAAAATAATGGGAATATTAGTCACATGATTGGACAAAAGCAAAACTTAGGAAATATTTTAGAGTAAATATAAAATGTGGGTACTAAAGTTTGCCCAAAGTTGCAAATTGGGTACTCAACTTTGCTTTGTTGCAAGTTGGGTACTAAACTTGGGTATTGCCTGAATTTTGACCTTTAACAACAGGTTAATAGGTTACCAAACATTAATAACATACAAAAAATTAAAAAAAAAAAATTAAACTTCAATTGAATTAATTAACCAAAAAAAATCATCTTTCCCCAATTTTCTCTCTCCTGTTCAACTTTTTTTAGCTCAACTTTCTTTCTCTCCGACCTTAAAGAAACTAATTCAAGGTGAGTTTCGTCGAATTTGTGGAGTTTTCATAGTGGATTCCGTTGAATTTGTGGGGGGTTTCGTGAGTGCGTTTCGTGGCTTGGGTTTTGTGAGGTTGGTTGGAATTATGAGGACGTTTTTGCGAGGGTGTTAGCCTAGGTTTCGTGAGGGTGGTGGCCTGGGTTCGTGAAGGTGGTTGGATTTTTTAGGGCTTTCGTGGGGGTGGTTGAATTTGTGGGTTTTTCGTGAGGGTGGTCGGATCTGTGGGCGTGGGTTTCATGGAGGTGAAAATTTCGTGGGGGTGTGGATGCAGTGGTGTTGTGGTGGTAGTCAAAGAAAAAAAATTGTTGATTTTTTCTACATTTTTTTTGTTGTTTAGTTGATTTTTTCTACATAAATGGCAATTCAAAATCTCCCATATACTAAAAACATTAACCAAAAGTAAAATACTTTTCACTTCAATTCATTATCCCAGACAACCTACCTACTAAAATTTAAAACCTCAGTAACCATTTAAATCAATTTTGCATCTTCAATGGTTAAAATATAGAAACAAAGAAATTTACCTCCACTAAAAATTGTGCCAGTTGTAATCTGATCATCAGCATTCGCGAAATTAAATAAAAAAAAACTTCGAATTGCACCAATAATTATGTGCAAATATCAAAAGTAGAAATATTACTGCATAATTGAAAAATAAATGGAGGTTTGTTAATCGAGGAAGAGAGAAAAGGAGGAGAGAGAGAAAGAGGTTGAGTTATTTTAGTTTTTTTCATTTAATAGAATGCAATATGGTAACCTGGTAGTGTAGGTTACTTGCCAGAAAAGAAGATTCAGGCAGGTCATAGTACCCAATTTGCCAATATTGAAAGTTGAGTACCCAATTTGCAACAAAGGTCAAAGTTAAGTACCCGACTTTTATATTAACTAATATATTTTATATTATTGGAGGTTATAAATGAAGAAAAAGGGAAGAGTACTTGGTCCGTGAATATATGCTATAGTAAATTATTGTTGGGAATTATATAATCATGCTTTATTTTTCTCTCTCTATTGCAATGATAGAGGTTAGAGGATGAGTAAGCCAATCCATTTAATGGGAATTTATTCTTGTGTAAAGTAACCTTACCTTATGAACATTATTTGATGATTTTCTTCCTTTTAAGTACTTTTATTATTTTAACTTAGCAAGATTTCAAGATAAACTTCCTAACATTCATTGGATGTTGAATGTGTTTATTAGTGTTTACTAATTTGTCCCCTATACGATGATCAAATGCAATTAGAGATTATTTATAAATTATAAGACGTACTCAAGTAATCTTTCGTTTCAATGTGAACTCTTCTAAGTACAAGTATCATTAAGAAGTTAATATAACATCAATTGTTGAATGGTGTAGTGATTAGAACTTTAAAATGTATAAATTCAAGTTCATGAGATCAAATCTTTGTACTAGTACTTTTTTTTTTTTGGGTATGTGTAGGGCATGGAATAAATTTAGGAAAACTATTCATAAAGTAATATGCAATTATTTAATTTGTAACGTAAGTATTAAATACAATGTATTAGTAACATAAAAGACAGAAATTATGACTAATAGTATGAGGTCATGCTTACATAGACAGATTGCGTGGTAGCTAATACGGATTATAATTTTAACAACCTAAAACATAAGGTTGACAAACCATTTTTGCTTTCCGAACTACCATAAGGTTAGTGATACTAAGTAAAAGATATAGTGAAAAAAGTAGTTTATTTTTTAAACTTGTGGCTTTAAAAATATTATGATTAGGTTAGGGTGGAGCGTGGGAAGCATTGAAGCAACCATATAGCGGAGATGGAGGGAAGAACTATAGTTGGTAACAAGCATTGGACCGTGTGGGGTTGTGCATAGATTAGTTTGAAGACAATTATCCCTTTTCCATATATCACACCATACTATATCTATATAATATAATGGTATAAAATTTAGTCTACCCATCAAAATCAAAGTGATTTATTTATAGTATAGTTTTCAAAATTCAAACGAAGAATCTCCAAAACATTGAACCAAAGCAACATTTCCGATGTCTAAGAAGATTCAAGGAAATTGTACGAGTATACAATGTTTTAAAAGAGCAAGTTAAGTAGTTAACCCTAAAAACAAAAAAGAAAGATTTGCACGAGGCAGGTGATTTAAGGAAATGTCGGAAAGCATTGTACTTTTATTCTAAGGGAGGTGTTCAGAGTTGACCCAACAAAAACATTAGTCTAATACTCAATCTAGTGTATTGCGTATATTTCAAATCTTTTCTGGTACCGTTCTATTGTAGATGTCTAATATACGAAATTGGTTTGGTAGTGTATTGGTTGCTACTGCCAAAAGTTTTTGTGTCAGAATGTAGGAGAGTTAGATTTTAGTCTTTTTACTATTATGGAATCAATTGATTCTATTGAGTTGTAACAAACATATTTCTTTTACTTCCGAGTACCAAATAATAAATAGAGGTTTTTAAGTGCGGCAAGCCACATGGTGCGGCAGAGATTACTTGTAGGGTGTTATTTGTATTCTAGGTTTACTTGTATGAGTTACTTGTATTTTGGAGTTACTTGTATGTGTTACTTGTATTATGAGGTTTACTTGTAAGGTGTTACTTGTGTTATGAAGTTACTTGTATCGTGGGGTTACTTGTAGGTGTTACTTGTATTCTGGGTAACTCCTATTCTGAGTAACTCCTACAAGTAACTCCAAACCAAAACTCTATACCAAACCAGTAACTCCCTATAAATAACCCCTGACCAAAACCAGTAACACCAATACACGTAAACCCAGAATACAAGTAACACCTACAAGTAACCCATGACAAAACCAGTAACACCCTACAAGTAACCCCTGACCAAAACCAGTAACATCTATACAAATAACCCCAGAATACAAGTAACACCTACAAGTAAGTACCCCTGACAAAACCAGTAACACCTTACAAGTAACCCCTGGCCAAAACCATAACACCCATACAAGTAACCCCAGAATATAACCCTGACAAAACCAGTAATAACACCCTACAAGTAACTTTGTAAATAATAAAAGGGTACATTAAATTAAAGTTGATTTGTGCTGATAAATAGATATTGTGTTTGATTTACAACGACAATACAAGTATATAAATTATAGATATATGAGAAATATAAGTAGAGGAGATGAACAGTCAAATATCTGTCTCTACAAAACAAGGAATAATTGTTTTTATTAGCTTTCATATAGGATTGAGGAAGATATACAATGAAAAGATAAAACTCCCGCCCCCGTGGAAAATTTGTTACAAATAAATGGGCTTGACTTCTTCTCACATGTGTATCTTGTTTTCCATCTAATGGTACCCTACTTCATCCCCTTTAAAAAATCCCCTAAATTATTCTATAAGAAATACCATTGAAAGCGTCATGACTCATGAGCATATATATCCAAAATATTAGGAAACAAAGTCTAGAGAAAAACAAAACTGATGCAAATTAAAGGAAAGTTCGGGAAAATATCCGAAGAAGTTTTAAGTTTTGTGTTATTGTAAAATATTCGTAACTTTCTCATTTTTTCCATTATAAATGAACACATAACTAGTCATTTAAAAGGTATAAAAACAAGCTATCGTATTAAGATCTCACATAATAATAATGTATTTTCTTATCTAACACTATCAACTAAGACCAAAACTCTAAAACATAAAAAATCTTTATGAACCGAAGTAAAACATCAAGATGGTTAAATGAAAAGAGAAAGTAGTCACTAAAAGCCCAGTATTACCCCAAACAACTCCCATACATTCATCCAATTTCAAGGACACCAATAATACTCATCCATAAATCCATGATGTAATGCTTACTCTCCTACATTTCAACTATTTTATATCTATGAATGAAATTGTTGATTTCATCCACAATTATGTTCCCATAAACGTGTTACGTGTATGTCTACGTTCAATCAGTTTCATTTAAGATAAAAATAAATCTAGTAAATTATTCATTTTGGAGTTTTGGACATAACCTAAACATCATATAGATGTTTTCATATAACTAAAGATGATTTAAAGATTTTCTATATTATGTCATGATGGAAAATGCCAAAGTAATCAACAACCAAATATTATGTAAGGCGACAGCTTTAAATATTTATATGATAGATTAATTTTATTTTTATGCACTTCATTAATTCATTTGATCTCAAATTTGACTCTTCTATCTCCATTTAATAAATCTTCAATATATGATAAGCAAATTTTATAATAACAAATTCAAGATTCCAAAGCTACTCTCACGGTTATTAAGTTTACATTACATCATATGAAAATATACGAGTATACCTCTTGTCAAAAAAAAAATAATAATCAATAAGATTAAGTTGATGGGATGTGCAAACAAACCTTAGTGTGTATATATATATATATATATATATATATATATATATATATATATATATATATATATATATATATATATATATATATATATTGATAAACAACCTTTGACATATTATGCAAGACATATTGATGGATATTTATAATTTCTAATTGATAATAAATAATTTTTTTTAAGCTTAATTTCAGTCCAATTCCATTCAGTTCTTAATTTCCTTCTCTTATAGACTATTCAGTTCAAGTTTAGTAATTGAGTACATACCTTTAGTTAAGGTTCCCTATAGTTTTCTCCTTAATTGGGAGGGTTTTTCTTGATTGGTTCCCTTTATGGTTTCTCCTTTGGGAAGGCTAAGGTTTTTTTTTTTTGAATGTTTTCCTTCTCTTCTCCCTTTTCTCTCCATTTGTGCAATCTTTTTTCCTCCCGGTTTCAGTTGTGAATCTTTGTAGGGGCTTCCATCGATGTGCTTTTACTAGTGGTAAACCCAAAAAACTTTTTAATTGCTTTCAATGAACAGATCTTATCCTTGAGATGATGATTTTTCTCTATGTTTACTTTATTTTTGTATGACGAGAATTGAAGGTTTAGGGTTTTATAATTTCCCAAAGAATCCAAAGGACGGACCACATGAGTATTTTTAATCAAACGACTACGCATCAGCGGATTTCAAGCCGAGTCAGTGCTAATTCACAGGCTGTGTTGCTTCAGATGAAGTTTTTTATTAAGACAATTGTTGATCGAATCCACGATTTATTTAGCTTTAAGGTAATATGTACTTGTGCTGAAATTCTTGATTTCTTAGAAATTTTATATAAGTGGCGTTTGATTATATTTTATTAATGAAATTCCTTTTCTACTTGTAAAAAAAATGATTAGTACTAGTTTTTCTACAAAACATGATTCAATAGATTGGTAAAAAAAAAAAGAAAAAGAATTGAAGGTGAAATAATGAAGATCATAGTCGTGTATGTACATAGTACAGTATTTTGAAAATTTATATTTTTGTAAATTAATGCCATACGCATATTGCATATACAATCAAATCGTAAATGTTTGGTACAACACAATTTTGTTTCGCAACTCTTGCAACATTTGACATTTAATTTAGCACTATTCACCAATTAACTTTAAGTAGTGTACTCTTTTAATAAATTCATAGTGAG